GGGGGGGGGGGGGGTCAACTCAAATATTCGGCAGGGTTTGGGGGTGGGGTCAACTCAAATATTCAGCACGGGTAGGGGGTGGGGTCAACTCAAATATACAGCACATAAAACATAAAGAAGTCGTGATGTAAAGAGAAACGTTCATTTTAACAAAATTAATTTGTATTGTTTCCCTTGAAATATTTACCTCCCTTTGTATCTGTACGTCTCCGGCTGTGCGCGCCCAGGAGATAATAAAAACATAACACTGGAAAAATTAAAGTCGCTTGTCGTATGTTGAAAAATGTCTTCTTCTTCTCTATCTTTGAGGGCCCACGATCAATGCGTGGATCATTCTGGCTCCTGGGTATGCAGAGGGGCTTTGCATTGGTACGGATTTTTAAGGACATGTGAGTTGATGGCTCTTCAATAGGGCTCAATTCATAGCCAAACATCTCATCAAGGAAACACACACAAAAAAAAGACTGGACATGGAAAAGGTGAATATATCGTTTGTCAAAGAAAAACTATCTTTCTGTCTGATGAAAAACATTCATTATTTCAACAAAACAACAAAAAAAATGAAGAAAAAACAAAAAAAAAAAAAATCCGCCTCATTAGGTGTTGCCATGAATGTTAAAGCAAAAACAGATTCATTTAGAATCCATGAGATAGACTTTCAAAGGCCCTGCCTCTACCGTCTACCGTCTACCTTCTACCGTCTACCGTCTACCTTCTACCGTCTACCGTCTACCGTCTACCGTCTACCGTCTACCGTCTACCTTCTACCGTCTACCGTCTACCGTCTACCTTCTACCGTCTACCGTCTACCTTCTACCGTCTACCGTCTACCTTCTACCTTCTACCGTCTACCTTCTACCGTCTACCTTCTACCGTCTACCGTCTACCGTCTACCTTCTACCGTCTACCGTCTACCGTCTACCGTCTACCTTCTACCGTCTACCTTCTACCGTCTACCTTCTACCGTCTACCGTCTACCGTCTACCTTCTACCGTCTACCGTCTACCTTCTACCGTCTACCTTCTACCGTCTACCTTCTACCGTCTACCGTCTACCGTCTACCTTCTACCGTCTACCTTCTACCGTCTACCTTCTACCGTTTACCGTCTACCTTCTACCGTCTACCTTCTACCGTCTAACTTCTACCGTTTACCGTCTACCTTCTACCGTCTACCGTTTACCGTCTACCTTCTACCGTCTACCTTCTACCGTCTACCGTCTACCTTCTACCGTTTACCGTCTACCTTCTACCATCTACCTTCTACCGTTTACCTTCTACCGTCTACCGCCTACCTTCTACCTTCTACCTTCTACCTTCTACCGTCTACTGCCTACCTTCTACCGTCTACCTTCTACCTTCTACCGTCTACCTTCTACCTTCTACCTTCTACCTTCTACCGTCTACCTTCTACCTTCTACCTTCTACCTTCTACCTTCTACCTTCTACCTTCTACCTTCTACCTTCTACCTTCTACCTTCTACCTTCTACCTTCTACCTTCTACCTTCTACCTTCTACCTTCTACCTTCTACCTTCTACCTTCTACCTTCTACCTTCTACCTTCTACCTTCTACCTTCTACCTTCTACCTTCTACCTTCTACCTTCTACCTTCTACCTTCTACCTTCTACCTTCTACCTTCTACCTTCTACCTTCTACCTTCTACCTTCTACCTTCTACCTTCTACCTTCTACCTTCTACCTTCTACCTTCTACCTTCTACCTTCTACCTTCTACCTTCTACCTTCTACCTTCTACCTTCTACCTTCTACCTTCTACCTTCTACCTTCTACCTTCTACCTTCTACCTTCTACCTTCTACCTTCTACCTTCTACCTTCTACCTTCTACCTTCTACCTTCTACCTTCTACCTTCTACCTTCTACCTTCTACCTTCTACCTTCTACCTTCTACCTTCTACCTTCTACCTTCTACCTTCTACCTTCTACCTTCTACCTTCTACCTTCTACCTTCTACCTTCTACCTTCTACCTTCTACCTTCTACCTTCTACCTTCTACCTTCTACCTTCTACCTTCTACCTTCTACCTTCTACCTTCTACCTTCTACCTTCTACCTTCTACCTTCTACCTTCTACCTTCTACCTTCTACCTTCTACCTTCTACCTTCTACCTTCTACCTTCTACCTTCTACCTTCTACCTTCTACCTTCTACCTTCTACCTTCTACCTTCTACCTTCTACCGTCTACCTTCTACCTTCTACCGTATACCTTCTACCGTCTACCGTCTACCTTCTACCTTCTACCGTCTACCTTCTACCATCTACCATCTACCTTCTACCGTCTACCGTCTACCTTCTACCGTCTACCTTCTACCTTCTACCTTCTACCTTCTACCTTCTACCGTCTACCTTCTACCGTCTACCTTCTACCTTCTACCTTCTACCGTCTACCTTCTACCTTCTACCATCTACCTTCTACCTTCTACCTTCTACCGTCTACCTTCTACCTTCTACCTTCTACCGTCTACCTTCTACCTTCTACCTTCTAACTTCTACCGACTAGCGTCTACCTTCTACCTTCTACCTTCTACCGTCTACCTTCTACCTTCTACCGTCTACCTTCTACCTTCTACCGTCTACCTTCTACCTTCTACCGTCTACCGTCTACCATCTACCTTCTACCTTCTACCTTTCCCCTGGTCAGCTGTAGAGACCGACCGAAAGGGATTTACGGATTTCGGCCGAAGCCGAAAATAGGCCGAAAGTTTAAAATGACTTTCGGCCGAAACAAAAGCCGAAAGTTTAAAAATGACTTTCGGCTGAAACCGAAAAAAAAGGCCGAAAGTTAAAAATGAATTTCGGCCGAAACCGAAGCCGAAACCGAAGCCGAAACCGAAGCCGAAACCGAAGCCGAAACCGAAAATGAAATATTAAGATATTTTGAAATTCTTTCCCGCATACATTCTGCATACATCGAAAAGGATTGGGGAAAGTATAAATATTTACATTATTTTTAAAAAAATGAGATAATCGTGAATATTATTAAATAAACATCTAATATAGGGGTCTCAAACTCGCGGCCCGCGAGCCATTTGTGACCCGCAAGACGATATTTTGCGGCCCGCTACATGACAGAAAAGTTTAGTGTAAATGCGCCGGCCCGTTTCCCCCATTCTCATATCTATA